CTGCTGACTGACTGTCCATTTCCCTTTTCCTCTAATACTGGAATCCCCGTTGTTTTTGTATTGACAATGCATTCAGTCCTGAAGAAGACATGTCTGTCTCAATAGTAAAACTACTCTTGTTTCCCAGGCTCTTTGCTGCCTTGGCAGTTAGGCATGTCTTTGTGACCAAATCTTGACCTATAAGATCTAAGAATCAGAATTCTTCTAATGGAATTTCTGGGAAAGCTATTGTGGAAAGGTGGACCTACATGCCACTTGGACTTGATGTCTGGAGCTAGTGGCCATTTTTCCATGAATTAGTAGATAAACCTTTAATATGACAACCCGCACAGAGGATGGTGGAGTGAGAAATACAGGAAAAGCCCAGGACCCTAATGGCACAGCCTCAGAGCTGATCTGGTGCCATAAGCAATGACTGCTGGACTGTTAATGTAAGAAAAATTCATTCTTTTTTGTTTAAGACCAAGTTGCTTGGTCCTTCTCTTTGTTGCACGGACAGGGCATTTCTCACTGATAGAAAAGGGTGGATGAAAACAGCAATGGAGACCCTCTACCTGGAGGAGAATGTTAGAACTCTGAGGGTAAAGGAACCTGGGAACGATCACCAACTGGCCGGGGAAGCTGAAGCGTGGCTTGGGTGAGGCTTCAGAGATGACTCTTAAAGTTAGGATAGATAAATGCGAGTCTTTAAGGATTGTCTGAGGACATTTACAAGAATAGGGATGGGTGAAAACTGGAAGTCTTGAGAGTCACAATTTTAAAGAGAAAGAAACAAAAATGGGACACAGTACTTTACAAAGAGATCCGCTGTGAACACAGCAGCGAGCTTTCCTCTGGTGCATTTCTATGACAGCTTCTGTAACAGTCTTGTGTTTGCATCAGACAAACCAAAATTTGAGGAGTATTCTATATGGTTCAACTGGCCCACGTTCTAAACTTACGTCATTGTCTTCAGATTAAAGGAGGCTACAGAGCCGTGACTGCTGAGTGCAAGGGTGTGATTAGGCAAAGAAAGAATTTTTTCTATAAAGGACGTAATTAGGATGATCGATAAAATATGAATATAGATGTTGTATCAGATGGCCTTATTTTATCAGTGTTAACTTTCTTGAATTTAGTAATCACACAGGGGTAAAAAAAAGGAAGTTTTAAGAAAACCAAGAAGAAAGGGTTGGGGAAAAGAAGCCCGGAAGCCGCAAATTGCCCCCAAACCAATCCCCAAAAAAAAAAAAGCCGGGGGGGGAAGTTGGTGAAAAAAAAAGCAAAAGGGGGGAAAAGGTAAAGGGGAAACCCAAGGGAAAAGGAAAAGGGGGCCCAATGGAACAACTTTAGCAAAATTTTGGGGAATTGAAAAATTTCAAAGTACAATAAAAATTTTTGGTACATATTTTAATTTTTTAAACTTATTGTAGCTGAAACAGTTTGTAAAGTTTCTATGGCAATGAAAGCATAGAATCTGGACCACTGGGAATTCCCTAGAATTTTTATTATGTGAAGAACATTTAACTCACTCCTAGCTGCCTGGTATTTGGATACATACCAACAGTTTTTGAGTAACTATGAAATTACCTGGACACCATATGAGTGTGTGTGTATAATGCATGTCTGCTTTAAGCTTTCTCAAATTATGGAGTGAGACAAAGAATTTTAAATGCCAGAAGCATTATTTATTTATAAGGTATGTCATTCCATATCATCTGTGTGTTAATGAATTGGAGTCTGTGATATTTTTCCATCTTTAACCCAAAGGACAATTTCAAAGGCATTTTCAGGCTATGAGAGTTGGACAAGATCTTGTTGGATATGATATAAATGTCTCCTGATGCACAGTGGGGATATTACCATTTGGGGAGGATATATGATGAGCAAGATTCTAAATGCCATCACGGGGCAGCTCTGGGCAGGGACACTTAGCCAACCACACATCTGCAGCGTGCAGATTAAGTGACCACTGCTTCCTTTTTGGAATTCCCATGCGGCTGTTATTTTGTGAATGACATCTACCACGGGCTTAATTGTAATGCTTTTCCATACAGCTAAGTGTCAATTCAGCAAAAATCAAACAGGCTCATTTAAATTGGAAAGCAGTGTTTTCCCGATTTTGCCTTTTATTAAAGTTACCACAACCGCAGGCCGCAGCATTTCCTGAGGCTTGGTCCCTACACCGCGCCTGCAAGCCCAGCGCAGGCTGTGCGTGGCTGCCATGGGGCGGGAGTTCCCACTTGTCCTGTGGACTCTGAGTAGATTTTGTCACTTCTCAGTTTCCTCTTCCAGAAAGCAGGGAAAAGTGAAACTGCTTCCCAGGGTTTTTAGTGTGATTAGATGAAGCTAATGGATGAGAAAGAAATCACGTGTACTAAATGTGAATTTCACTTCTTTAGTCCATTGGTCTTAATTTCCAGGTAATTTCTTTTTTTAAAATTTTATTTATTTTTTTCATTTATTTTTATTAGTTGGAGGCTAATCACTTTACAATACCAGGTAATTTCTACTGTAACTAACAACTGTGCTAAAAATATATTTAATAGAATCTATACTGTACAATCCATGAACTTGTAAGCAGCATGGGATGAATATTGACTGAGATGATAGGAGCCACATGTGGTCCACTTGGATGCTAAGAGTCTCTCCGATACCAAACAAACACTGCTTATGCCTCTCTTCTCTTATAAATGTCTGTCAGGAATGAGTTAATATACACCTCTCAATCTTTTATAGGGCTCTCCCATTCTCAAACCCACCATGATTGAGTTTGAGTGGGCATTGGCACCTGTGGGTACTTCGCTTTTTGTACTGACTGCCCGTCTTCCTATTTCTGTCCACACTGCCATCTCAAATTAAGAGTGAAGCATGTGATGTGAAGTGGCTGCTAATTCAGGTAGCCAGGTTAAGCAGCGAGGAAAGATTCATTTTCTCTTCTCTGGTCATACTTGGAGAGTGCTGTTGTCACCTGGGCTGACTCTGAGTGGCTGCCTGCAGAGTTCCCACCTGCACCCAGCTCACTGGACCAGCGTATAGGCTGGAAGCCCAAAGACACAAAGATCAGTGGAATAGAACAGAGAGCCCAGAAATGAACCCACACTTATATGGTTAATTAGTCTACAACAAAGGAAACAAGACTATATAATAGGGAAAAGATAGCCTCTTCAATATGTGGTTCTGGGGAAAGTAGAAGCTCCATGACAAAGAATCAAACTGCAGAACTTTGCCACACCATACACAAAAATAAATTCAAAATGAATTATAGACTTAAAGGTAAGACATGAAACCATAAAACTTCTAGAAGAAACCATAAGCATTAAGTTCTTTGACATCGATCTTAGTAATTTTTTTGGATATGCCTCCTTAGGCAAGAGAAACAAAAGCAAAATAAACAAATGGAGTTATATTAAACTAAAAATCTTGCGCACATTGAAGGAAACTATCAGCAAAGCAAACACACCAGTTATGGAATGGAAGAAGATATTTTTAGGTGATACACCTGATAAGGGATTAACATTCAAAATATACAAAGAACTCATACAGCTCAATATCGAAAAAACAACCTGACTAAAATGGGTAAAGTATCTGAATAGACATTTTCCCAAAGATTACATACAGATGGCTGACAGACACAGGAAAAGATGTCAAAAATCACTAATTAATAAGAAAATACAGTTGAAAACCACAATCAGATATTCACCTCATACCTGACAGAATAGCAGTCATTAAAAAGACAAACAATAGCAAGTGTTGGTGAGGATTTGGAGAAAAGAGAACCCTCAGGCGCTGTCGGTGGGAATATAAATTGGTGTAGCCACTTCGGAAAATAGTATGGAGATTCTTCAAAAAAATTAAAGATAGAACTACCATACGATCCACTCTTGGGTATTTATCTGAAAACACTAATTACAAAAGTGTACTCCTATGTTCATTGGAAGTAAACAAAGTGCCCATAAATAGATAAATGGATAAAGAAGATGTTGTACATACATATAATAGAATAAACTTAACCATAAAGAAGCATGAAAGCTTGCATTTGTGACAACATGGATGAACCTTGAGGGTATTAAGCTAAGTGAAGTAAATTGGGCAGGGAAAGACATGCACTATGATTTCACTTATATGTGGAATCTAAAAAATAGGGAAAAGAACAAACATAACAGAACAAACAGTTATAGATACAGAGAACAACCAGGTGGTTGCCAGAGGTCAGGAGGGTAAGGAAGGAAAGAAATAGATGAGAGAGATTAAGAGCTACAAACTTACAGGTGTAAAATAAATGAGTCACCAGTGTAAAATGCACAGTGTGGAGAATAAAGTCAACAATTGTGTGACATCTTTGTATAGTGACATAACCTAACTAGACTTATTGTGGTGATCATTTTGTAATATATAGGAATATCAAAACACTATGTTGTGTACCAGAAACTAACATATGTTTTAGGTTAGTTATACTTCAAACACAATCAAATGAACAAATGCATAAAAAAAAGATCAGAATTGTGGTTATCAGAGGTGGGGAGTTGGGGAGTGTAGGGGCGGGGGATTGGATGAAGGCAGTAAAAAAGTGTACAAACCTCCAGTTATAAAATGAAAAATCCCCAAACCTCCTGGGTCTGATCCAAGTACAGTCAGCCAAAAGTCTGACTATATTAGTCTTTGTTTCTCAAAGGACTTGAGCCCTTTACAGCCACCTAGCAACTCTGGGGTCTACATTTTGTCTATGGAACCATCATACTAAGGAGTCTTAGCTTTTTTTTTTAGGGCAAGGAGAGAAAAGGAGGAAATAGAAAATTAAAGAAGAAAGGGATAAAGAGAGAAGTATTTTAGATTAGGACTAGCTTTTCAGTAAAGCTGGTGGTAGAATAATACTGTTTTTACCATAGCTGTAGTTTTTTATTAAATGATAGAGAAAATCCTAAAGAGAGTTTGGATTCAGAATCTAGAATATACATGTGTATTAACTGAATGAATAAACACGTATTTTCCTAGGTTAGCTAGGTTTCTCTAAGTGACAAAAGATCAGTGGCAGAGATTTGACTTTCTGGCAAGAGCTTGTATCCAAGTGTTTAGCTGAATATTCATCGAACAAGTGTTCCAAACCAAATGTTCAGAAGTTGAAATGGATTGTTTCTGGGCGTACTGCACGGCAACTGAGGCATAGTTACTACAGAATAACCCACCTTCCAACAATTCCGGAAATGGTCCCTTAATTGGTAAATTTGATTCGTAGTTAATCCTCCACATTATAGAAAATTTTCTAATGCTATATAATTTTCTTCTACAATTCAAGAATATAAATCTGAATTATTTTCAAAATAAACAAAATGGAGTTGGAATAGGAAAGGGGAAGATGACTTCACTGATCTAGTCAGCTATTATTTGAGGGCATTTACTACATTTGTGGAGAAGGAACTGGCAATCCACCCCAGTCTTCTTGCCAGGAAAATCCCATGGACATAGTCTGGTGGGCTACAGTCCATGGGGTCACAAAGAGTTTGACCCAAACTAGTGATTTAGCACACTACATTCAAGGTATCAATACAACATCCCAAGAGTAAGGAATTTTCTAAACTTTGATATATATGTTAGCTGTTTCATTAAATTATCAGCTTACAAAACCACATCCTCCTTAATAATGTGAACTTTAAAAGTAGCACTAAAACAGTGTTTTGTTTTTTTCTAATTGCACATCATTTTGCTATATGTAGACTCAAGCTTTAGTTCATTTAAAGTTACACAAGCCTGAGTAAACGAACAGGACCAAAATTTTGAACCATACATTGAACTAATTTGAGACTATTAGCTTATTAGGAAAGTCAGTATGAACTCGGGTGTTATACTTAAAAATAAGTTAGGACAGGTGGTTTCTACACTGGGTCTTTGGAAACTGCCAGGGTGTCTCAGCACTGTAGCTGTGTATCATTGCTATAAGAGTTGAACAGTGGCAAGTATTTACATGCATAAAAAATGTAAACCTCCTCAGGAATATATGATAGACTTTCTTACCATCTAAGTTTAACTCATGGTGGTGAGTTAACTTTCTTCCTACTCAAAACTAAGTGTGAACATAGAATACATCTACATAAGACATGATTATGAATCTTAGATATTTTAACAGGTAGCAAAATTTGTGTTTGGCAGACTTCTGATAACTTGATTTTTTGTTTGTTAAATAGGATGATTACAGCAACAAAAAACTTCTGAAGCCTTTCTCCACAATCCTGAGCTGTGGATTCCATAATATTATAACGGATTTAAGCTGTGAAGCCTCAAAACATCACAACTAGATTAGCATTGGTGTTCTCAGATTTGGGAAAACTGCCTAATTAACATTACCCTATAGTGGAATTACTCAAATTTGAATTCACCTGTGAAACATACAAATCAAAGTAACAGTATAAATGTGAAATGCAAATGACAAGCCTGGAAAGGTAAACTGTGAATCTTCATTTCTAACATTGATCCAAGTTTCTGTATTGGGTCAATATATTGTACTTAGGTGGTGTTTAAAAAAGGTAACCTACTTAAATTTAAACTTTAAATTAGGAGGTTTACATCAAAAACACCATTTCACAAATGCACTTTTTAAGGCACAATAAGGGTCACTATTCTAGGCAGTGAGAATAGTTAGTTTCTTGGCACCTATGATGCAAGTAATTATTAACCCAGAGATGTGGCCCTTACTGCTACATAGAAATCACATTTAAATTTGAGGGCATTTATGTAAAGCAAAACTACCAACCTGTTAATTTTGGCATGTTATCTTTAATATTTTTCTAGAAAACTGGTGATGTTTGTATCCATGATTTTAAAAGTTTTATACAAAATTTACTGCCTCAGTCTAGTCCCATCAAGAAAGTTAGTTTTTACTGTACTAGTAACTCAAAACAAATTAGTGTCACTCAGAAAACTTTTTGATTTAACACTCCATCAGTTTTTACTGAGGACTGTTTTTATAAAACTTGGTTCTAACTTAGAATTTTGCTTAAAAGAAAGAGAATATGCTTACATTAATTGCCCCTACTGTGTGCCAAAAGGAAGTATTAAGAAAGGCAAGTAGGCATCTTCATAATTATAAGGTTGCCGAGGTGTAGTGTTCAGAGATCTACAGGGTTAAAGTGTTGCAGAGAGTTACTCAATGCAGTGTGTAACCTGAATCCATCCAAGATGGCTGTACCCAATTTTGACATCATTTTATGGTTATAGAGGCATTAGAAAATGAACCAAAGAACCACAGTGTATCTTATACTTTGGTAAACCATGTTTTATGAATAACTTTACAGTTTTCCCAAAATACTGATAAATTTCAATATTTTGAATACATCAGTGTTAATTTTGAGTTGCCAGAGGTAACCTAACCAACTCCCATTATGTTTTGGTACTAAGGGATATACCTTTCAATAAAGTTACTGAAATGCATTCCTTTGCCAGGTGGTTTTCTATTCGTTTCTCTTCTAATGCAATTAACTATTTTGGCAACGTGATAACAGCACCACAATAAAAAGCTGTCTCCACTCACTTTATTTAAATTTAGCACTAAAGTAAGATGCACGGTGGGCTTCCCTGGTGGCTAACTGGTAAAGAATCCTTCTGCCAATGCAGGAGACATAGGTTTGATCCCTGGTCTGGGAATATCCTCTAGAGAAGGAAATGGCAACCTGGGAAATTGTATTCTTGCCTGGGAAATCCCATGGACAAAGGAGCCTGGTGGACTACAGTCCATAGGGTCACAAAGAATCAGACATAACTTAGAGATTGAACATGCATGGTAAGGAAAAAAAATTATGATAGTATAGCTATTACCTAATTGACACTTTGCTTTCTAGTGGTTTTTTAAAGATAAACACAAGATGATGACAATTAAATATGCTTAATATGCATTAAAAACTTGCTTATGCATTGTTAGTCACTTTTATTATTTAGGTTCCATTGTATGAGCATGCTAAGTCACTTCAGTCATGTCTGACTCTTTGTGACCCTATGAACTATAACCCGCCAGGCTCCTCTGTCCATGAAATTCTTCAGGCAAGAACACTGGAGTGGGTTTCCATGCCTTCCTCCAGGGCATCTTCCCAACCTAGGGATCGAATCCATGTCATAATCTATGTCTCCTGCATTGGCAGGTGGGTTCTTGACCACCATCGCCACCTGGACTACCCCATCACTGTTAGGACTGTCCTTAATACTAAATCACCCTCAGATTCAGCCCATCTGTAGTTCTGTGTGACCCTCTTACCTAATTAAACAGGATTCCAACAGGTGGTTGGTAATAACAGGCAACCAGTTAAGTGTTGTATTAGTCTGGTCAGACGGCTTGTTAATTATTAATATATGATTTTGAACTGTTCATGTAGCTAACAAGCTAGAAAGTAGATACTGTAAGGAATTACTGAATAAAGAAAAACTTAGAAGGTTCCTTTTGTATTTGACTCAGGTTAAATATATTGAATAATCCCTGCTTTCATAAGTGCTATTTTTTAAAACAGGCACTTTAACCTTCTATGTATTTTCAATTAATGTGGCATACTTTTTAAAAACTAGATATTTCTGATCTAACGTTTGTGGTTAGCAGTGATAGTTTTTACTGTCAGGTACTATTGTCAGATATTTTAGGTGAATCATTTCATGTTATTCTCCAAACTGAATGAGATTATCCCATTTACAAATCAACCACAACAACAGAGCAAGTATGAGATAAGCCCAAGGTCACATAACTGTACTTGGATATGAGATTCAAGTCCAGGCAATTGTGACTCAGGCTATGTTCCTAAACACTGCATATTACTTCCCAAAATAGATTAAATGGACTTATGTGAAATTGTATCAAAGTTAATAGGAATAAAGGATATTAAAGTGATAAAAGAATCAATTCACCAAGATATGAGTCTTAAATACGTATGCATCTAGCATCAGAGCCTAAAAATACAAGAAGTACTAAAAACTGACAGCAGTGAAGAGGTCATACGGACAAAGCTTCAGTTGCAGACTTAAAAGAGTCCACTCCGTAATGTACAGCACTAGAAAATCAACAAGGATGTAGGACTGAAAAATACCAACAACCATGTGAATCTACTTTATATAAAACCCATCCCAGAATAGCAGAATAAGCATTCTTTTCAAGTTAACGTACCACAGTCACCAAGAGAGAATATATTCTGGGTCATAAACAAACTAAGAACTGAACAAAAATCATACAAAATGTCTTCCCTGACCATAAAACTAGAAAACAAACAGTTAACGAGACAATCTCACTTGGAAGTTAAATAAGAAACATCTATGAAAACAATCCATGCCTGTAAGTGAAAGTCTAAAAAGAGAATGTATTTTGAACTTAATGAAAATATCAAAATATATGGAATGCAGCTAAAGCAGTGCTTAGTAATCATAGTATCACTTTTGTTAAAAAAAGGTTTCAAAACCAGTAAATTTATATTTTAAGAAACTAGAAACAGAGCAAAATAAACCCAAAGCAAGCAGAAGGAAGAAAGTCTGAAGAAGGATGTGTAAAACAAAAAATCTATGAAACAATAGGGCTAATCAAAATAAAAAAATTGGGGCTTGAAAAGAGCAGCAGATAAGCTTCTAGCAAGACTGACAAATTTTAGGAATGAAAAGGATACCACTACAGACTCGAAAGACATTAAAAGGAAACTATACTTTTTAATACCGCAAATAACTGCACAGAGAATTAGATGAATCAATTCCTTGAAAGGCATGAACTATGAAAACTAAATTGTTATATAACCTGAGTAAATTCTACTATTTTAAAAAACTGAGTCCATTGTTTAAAATCTTACTGGCAAATCCCAAATCATTTAAGGAAAACCTAATGTAAATTCTATAAATCTCTCCCAGAAAGGAGAAGAATCACTTCCCAATTCATTTTATAAGACCAGCAATAACTTGATACCAAACCCAGATAAAACATTTTTTAATTTTATAAGCTATTGACCAATATCTCAAATGAATACCTCAACAATATCCCCTCCCAAAAAAAGCTCAACAAAATGAGTCCAAATATACAAAACTCAACAATACAACATGACCAGGTTTGATGGAAGGGAGATAAGCTGGTTCAAAATTTAAAAATCAAAATAATCCACCATACTGAGAGTCAAAAGGAAAAAAAAAAAAAAAGGATCAACTGATACAGAAAAAAGCATTTGAGAAAATTCCAGTACACTCATGAGAAAAATCAGCTAACAATAAGAATTTCCTCAATCGGATAAAGGTCATCAATGAAAGCATACAGTTAGCATAATACTTAATGTTAGAATGCTTTCAAAACTAACATCTAGAACAAGACAGGATGGCCATTTCTACCACCTCTTTTTCTAGCAAGTGCAATGAAGCAAGTAAAGGAAACAAAAGATCTACAAACTAGAGCAGACAAAAACTTTCCTGTTTGTGGTTTATGCAAAAATTTCCAGGGAGACAACTATCAAAGTCACAGGATCAAAAAGTTTCAAAAAGAAATAACTTACAACATCTCCAGAAAATGAACACTTAGGAATAAATATAAGATGTAAAGTTTCTATAAGCGGAAAACCATAAAATGTTGATGATCTAAATCAGAGGGGCTAAATGAAGAGATGCCCCATGTTCATGGATCAGAAGACATGCTATTCCAGTGGAAATTTCAGGACTTTTTATTGTAGATAGACTAACTGATTCTAAACTTCACATGAAAAAGCAAAGAAAATTAACACAGCCAAACCAATTCTGGAAAAGTTGAAGGAATCATGCTACCCAATTTTAAGACTTAATTTAAAGCTACCATTGTCAAGGCAGTATTGTATTGGTGAAGGGAAAGACACAGAGATCCATGGAATAGAATAGAGACCGAAAACAGACCCATATAAATAGCAATTGATTTTTGTGAAAAGTGCAAAAACAATTTAATGAATACCTTTTTCGACAAATGATTTTGAAACAACTGGACATCTATATGCTAAAAAATGAAACTCCACCTATATTTCACAGCTTCTCCAAAAAAATAAAATAGGTCACAGATCTCAATGTAAAAGATAAAAATATAAAACTTTTAGAAGAAAACAGGAAGAAAATCCTCGTAACCTGGGATTTCAAAACTCTTAGACATGACACCAGAAGCATGGTGAATTAGACTATATCAAAACAGAGCATTCAGGCTTCAAAAGGCACTGTTGAGAAAGTGAAAATCATACAAAAAGAAAATATATTCAAATCATAGATGATAAAGGACTTGNCTTAGCGACCCCACGGGCTGCAACCTACCAGGCTCCTCCGTCCATGGGATTTTCCAGGCAAGGGTACTGGAGTGGGGTGCCATTGTAGATGTACATAACAATGTGTAGTTGAATGTTTACAGCATAATTATTCATAGTAGCCAAACGGTGGAAACCTCCCAGATGTCCATCAACTGACAAATGGATAAATATGTGGTAATCATACAATGGAATATCATCCAGCCAGACAAAAAGAATGAAGCTCTGACATTCTAGAATATGGATGAACTTCTAAAACCTTATGTAGGTTAAAGAAACCAAAAACAAAAGACATTATGACTCCATGTATATGAAATATCCATAAGAGAAATCTGAGGTGAAAAATAACTAGTGATTGCTTGGGAGGGTCGGGTATATGTGTGGAGGGTGATAGTTAAGAAAATACAGGTTTCATGGATTTCCCTGGTGGTCCAGTGATTGAGAATCTGCCTTGCAATGCAGGGGGCCTGGGTTCAATCCCAGGCAGGGAACTAAGATCTCACATGCCACAGGGCAACTAAGCACCACAATGAAGACTCAGCACAGTCAAAATAAAATTATAAGAGAGAAAGTATGGGTTTGGTTTTTTTGAGGTGATGAAAATCAAAGTTGACTGTGGTGATGGTTGAATATATGACTATACTAAAAACCACTGAGAAATTATATACTTTATATGAATAAAGTATATGGGATGTAAATTTTCTCTCAAAACTATCTTTTAAAAAGGATTACCTATGATTCTATTTCAATGAAATTTTTGAAAAATATAGAGGCAGAGACTAAAATCAGTGGACTCCAGGGTCTGATGGAGGACATGGCAACCCACTCCAGTACTCCTGCCTGGAAAATTCCAGGGATGGGGGAGCCTGGTGGGCTGCCGTCTATGGGTCGCACAGGGTCGGACACGACTGACGCGACTTAGCAGCAGCAGCCAGGGTTTGAGGCAGGGTGTGACTATAAAAAGAACATGAAAGAAATTTTGTGGTGATTGAACTGTTCAGTTTCCTGATTTTGGAGGTGTTCACACATACATCTATGTAAGTTAAAATTCACAAAACTACAAACAAGTTAATTTTACTTATGTTTATTCAAAATATTAAAAAAAGTTTTAATGTCAAAAAGATAAACCAATTAAAAGAAACAAGTCTCTTCCCCATTCATCCTTTAAGTTAT